CAAAGTCTCTAGGAGTCCAGTGATCTGTAGCATGTTGAGATCCCCTCTCTATCGTGACAGAAATTATTTTATTTTAGAATCTTACCACAGTTAAAAAGAAGCAACACTCATTGGAAGAGAATGGGCCTCTTTAGCATTTGAGGGAAAGTATTACACATTTAAACGCGCTACTCTGACGGTTCACCAGTAATTCATCAGGGTTCTAGTGTCGCCTGAAGCAAGAAAATGTTCTGCAGCAGTTCTGGGTTGCAATGTATGCAGTCTTTTCATTTCATTATCCCCAATGACATTGGGAATGTCTAGAGTGGACAAAGATGATGAGTGACTCCTCTGGCATGCCTCAGTGAAAATATTGTAATGTAGATACCCAAGATTTTGGACTACAGCCACCTCACCCTTCTTTTAGGTAAGGTGATCACAAGGTAGGACTTACTGGTGAGTGTGGTTAAGTTAAGGAGGGGACAACATAATGAAAGTCCCCACATGTGCAGGGCCTCTCACTTGTCCAGACCACACCTGGGATATATTTGACCCCACAGCCATTGGGGATGAACCCAACCCAAAAGTGTCTGTGAAGAAATCTTCTCTGGAGAGAAATCTTCTCTGTGGGAATTTTTGCTGGTCTTTCTGGTTGTCCACTTAGAATTGAAGAGATGATCTCAGGTGCAGATCTATATTGATGCAGTGCTTATGACTAACAGATTGGTGGGCTGATCAGGGGCTTGAGCAGAAGAATATTTGAAGATCTATGACAAGGTGATCTGGGATGGATCACTGGGAATGGACGCAGAGTATGATTACAGGCATGGTTTCCTGAGTAAATAGCCATCAGAAGATAGGCTGTAGAGAAGTGTGTTAATGATCACTTTATGAAATAATTTGTTTCCGTGGGTACCCATTGCTTCTCCCAGAAATCCTGGTGGTTTCTCAGTGAACTGATGAATATGGCCTCATGGATACAGCATGTACTTCCCTCCCCAGGAATGATCTGGTTATCGCCACCCCTCAGGGCTACTTTGCCAATTAGATGGCAGCATGGAACTCGCAATATGGGTGTTCATGGTAACTTATTAAGCTATTAATTTTTCACTTTGCACACTTATCTGTCATATTTCACAATTTACAAAGTTTTTAAAGTGAAAATAGATGTAGTAAAGTGATAAAAATGCCAGGGAAAGTTGTAGAAGGGTAGACAAGATTTCCCTAAGTAGATCTTATTTTTTAATTTGGAGTTTTGGATGAAACTCAAACATAAAATTACATAAAGAATTAAAAAGCAAACACTAAAATTGAAGACAACTTGAAACAAACAAACCCAACTATATATCAAATTGATAATCGTAACTAAACAAACAAAAAAGCTATTTCAAATGACTTTAGGACAGTATTTTGCTGACATGTCCGCAGGGATTATACTTAAGGACAAAATAAACTCCCAGGAAACTTAAACTTTATTCACTGTTTTATTAAGTAGAGTAATATTTGTATTATTATGTGTGAATTGTTATATGTACATTGTAGGATTAAATATATAAGTGATCATATCAATGTCATCAGGAACCAAATTTTTCAATATAAGAATAAAAAGCTGCATGCATAAAATAAAAAATCAGTAAAAATCATCATTAAATTTTAATTAAAAACCTCAATGTGTCCCTGTGTGTGTGTGTGTGTGTGTGTCTTTATATCTTAGCTCTGTTTAATGAAAGTAGCCATTGTCATCCCTTACACTCAAATGGTGGTCTCTAAAATTAGTCCTTACTAAAAACTACCAATTACCTTGGAAGGAATGGCTGCTTCCATATTTGGGCAATGAATAAAAAAGATGAACCTGGTACATCTTAGAGGGACAGAAAGTAAATGAGATTTTAATGATTAATGGGATGCTTCAAAAGGACATTGTGGCTTAAAGGCTGTCTCACTGGCTTATTCTGGGGTAATCTGAATATCAGAAAGAATTGTTACTGCGATTGACAGATACATATCAAATATATAAAGTGTACTCAAAAAAGAAAAATCATACATTTTTTATCAGGTACGTTTGGGCATGTCTGTGAGTCCAGTTCTTTGGAAGACTGAGGCAGGAGGATTGAAAATTTAAGGCCAGCCTGAGCAACTTAAAGAGATACTGTCTCAAAATAAAAAATAAAAATGGTTGGGCTGGGGATATAGCTGAGTGGCACAGTGCCTGCCTGGCAAGTGTGAGGTTGTGAGTTCGATTTCCAGTACCAAAAAAAAAAAAAAATCTTGGGGATGTATCTCAGTTTGAGGCTCTGGGTTTACCCAGCATATTTATTAATCACTACTAGAGTTAAGATTTACCACTCATTATTTTGCAAATGGGTAAAGAGTAAAAACTAATCATGTTCTATATTTACAGAGTAGCTAAGCCCAGTTAATAACAGAAAGCCTTTTTATGAAACAAAAATCAGCTATTAAGTGGAAAAGGAATGATAGAAATTTTAAAATCGCTATTTTGCAACCTCTAATGAAATAATTTCATCGAGAATCATCAGTGAATAGTAAAAACCAGTAGGTGAAAAGTTGATGGGCATCCAGATATCCTCATGGTACCAAAACATCATCCCATGTATCACACATGCCAGTCACATCAGGAAAACATAACTTTACATACACAGATCTGGACGATGCCATCTACTGCCAGTGATCAATTCCAGCATCACTAATAGTGAGATAGCAGATATTCTCCACCTCCTGAAATGATGCAATTAAAAGCATTTTTCTTTAAAGTGTTTTAAGCCTGACCTAATAAAGTCTTCAAATGTAACTTTTAGTTTACAGGAAATATAGCAGATAAACATGCTATACACATGGGGAATACACCAAGAGGAAACAATCAGACAAATCCAGAAGGTGGGGAATTCTAAGGAAAAAGTGACCTGGACATCACAGCAAGACAATGTCAACAAGGGGGGGGAGTGTCTATGTTAATGTAAAGAGAATTTAAAAACCATAATTAATCTCAATGTTATGGTTCACACCTGTATTCTCAATGCTCTGGAAGACTGTGAAGCAAGGATCACAAGTATGAGCCCAGCCCGGAAAACTCAGAGAGACTCTGTCTAAAATAAAGTGGGGAGGGGACAGGGACTGGAGATGCAGCTCAGTACAATTCTCAGTACTAAAAAAATGCTTAAAAAGGCATTTTTGAAAGCACTTTGAGAAATTTAAATACAAATTTAGCATTAAACTATGTTAGAGACTTATTGTGGTTATGTCTTATTTCCTGGAGATGCATACTGAAATATTTATAGAAACATTATGATGTCAATAGCTTCTGTTTAAATACTAAAAAGAACCAAAAATGGCAAAATGTCAATAATTGTTAAGTCTAGATGACAAATGTATGAGAAGTCACTATGCACTTTTTTTTTTAATGGAAAGCAAGAGAGTACAGTGATCAAGTCTGAACTCTAGAAAGTTTGCTTTCTAGTTTATTGAGTGACAACAGTGGCAGCAAAAGACCAGTCCAGTGATTACTGAATAGTCCTGACAGAACACAATGATCTAAATAGGTAGTCAGGCTGAAAAGAAGTGGGTTGTTCTGGTTGTAGTGCCACACACCTGTAATCCCAACACTTGGCAGGCTGAGGAAGGAAGATTGCAAGTTCAAGACCAGCCCAGGCGTGGTAGCAAGACCCTCTGGGGGTGAGGGTAGGGATTGATGTGAGGTATACTTTTAGGAAACTATAAGATTATTGAAAAGCTTGAGAAAGAAGAGGAGAAGAGAGTCAAAACTAATAACAAAAGTTAATATATGGTGCATGCCTGTAATCCCAGCACTGGAGAGGCTGAGGCAGGACAGTTGCTATGAGTTCAAGGCCAGTCTGGGTGACATAGTGAACTCAAGGCCAGCCTGAACTAAGCAGCAAGACCCTGTCGCAAAAAAAAAAAAAAAAAAAAAAAAAAAAAAAAAAAGTTAATATGTAGAAGGGTACGGGAGGAAAGCCAAGTGTGGTGGGGAATGCCTGTAATCCCAGCATTTGGGAGGCTGAGGCAGAAGGATTGCCAAGAATTCAAGGCCAGCCTGAGCTACGTAGTGATTTCAAGGCTAGCCAGAATTGCATAGTGAGACCCTGTCTCAAAAAAAGGGGGTGCAGGAGGAATAAATTATAGTATTCTATAGCACAGTATAATAGCTATGTTAACAACAATTAGTTGAATACTTCAAAACAGCTAGAAGAGAGGATTCTGAATGTTCCCAACACAAAGAAAAGATTTCTGCAGTGAAAGACATGCCAATTACTCTGACCTGATCATTACACGTTGTATACACCTATGGAAACGTCACACTGTGTCCCATGAACATGTGCAATTACTATGTATCAATTAAAAGTAAATAAATACTTAAAAAGAAAGAAAAAGTTGCCAAAAAGAAGTACATTGCAAAGAGAAAACAGTTAATAGGTATCGAGTGTTTAGTATGTGCCAGCCCACCCTAGTTCCCACTGATCCACAGGAGTTTAACTCATTAACACTCACGATGCCTTATGAGGTTAAGAAGCTTGGGTACAGACAGGGGAAGCAGCTTGCCCAAGGTTGTGCTCCTAGTAGTGGCACGCTTACATCTGGAATTCGGCACGCCACGCCACCCTTGCTCCTAAGGATGACACCAGTTCCGTTAACGAAGACTCCTTCGTTAACAGGACACCTGTTCCATTTACTTCTGTGCTTCCCATCTTAGGGTTTATACTCTTCGATCCACGTATCCTTCCGGGCCCCCAACCCTGGAATCAGGAAATAGAAACGGGTCAAAAGAGGACGGGGCCAAGAGGGAATTCTAGTGAGGTGCCTACTATTCCGTGGAGGAGGAATAGGGTGGGCAGGTTCCCCAGCAAACTGGGTTCTTACGCCAAGTATGACGCAAATAGGCGTAGGAGCTGGGGGTGGAGATGTCGTCACCACCCGCCTGCGGTTGGAGGACTCGCGTGGAGAGGGGCGCGTAGATCCGCCTTGTAGGTGGGTGGAGAGTGGCAGGCCCCGCCCCGGCTCCGCTGGCTGGCTTGGGCTGGCGCCGCTGCGACTCTGGCGGGGAGCGAGCGCTCGGAGCCAGAAGGATGCGGCGCCCGCGTCGGCCTGGGGGCTCCGGGGGATCTGGGGGTCTCCGGCTGCTCTTCTGCCTCCTGCTGCTGAGCAGCCGCCCAGGGGGCTGCAGCGCCATTAGTGCCCACGGTCAGGAGGAAACTTGAGGGGGGTGGTATGGAGCCAGGAGCAAAACCTCGGCTGGGGGTGGGGAGCAGCGTCCCGAAGGTAACAAGCTCGGGTAGAATAGGTGCGTGAGATGGAGCGGGAAGGCACTGGGAGATGAAGGTGAGAGGCCGCTAGGGAGGAAAGGGGCGTAGGCCTGGAGGTGGGGCTGGAAATAGCGGGCGGGACCTACTAGAAGTAAAATCCGGGTAAGTTGTGGGTTCTGCAGGAGAAATAGAGGTGCATGTGGACAGAGGGACTTAGAGACGGGCTACAAGACCAGGGGAGAAGCAAGTCGGAGGAGGTGGCCTGCGCTGGAGAGCGGGAGGGGGAGAGGAGGGCAAGTGAGAAGAGGGAGAGGAGGTGATCTCCAGACCGTCGGGCAAGAAGGTTCCAGCTCCCAGCAGGGGGTTGGGCTGAGGGAGGGGCCACGGTTTCTCTTTAAGCCTAGAGAGCCCAGTTGCTGCGATCGGATCTGCTATAAGAGGGATGCAGCTGGGGGAGGGGACAGAAGAAGATGAAGAGGGGAGGGTCCTCCCTTGTCCCCCTCCCCACATCTAGGCCTAGTGCTGACTCACATCTGTGCGGACGGAGACAGTCAGCGCTGACTCACGGGCCGGGGGTGGGGGCGGGAAGGTAGCGCGTGGGGGAAGGGGCGCAGCCTCGCCATCTGGCGCCTTCTTTCCCCACCCGAGCTCGGAGGCCAAAGCAGGGTACTTCCTGTGACGCTTTGGGTTAGCCAGGGGGAGCGGAAGGGTCCGGTGCTGTAGAGACTTCTCCTCCCGTTACCCCTCTTTCTCTCGGAACTGCCTCCAGGCAAACAAACCCTTGGCCTCGCCGGGCTCATGCTTCAGCACCGCGGACAGCGCCAGCCTGGGACCAGGAGGGGCGCCTCGCAGAGCCCATCCACACCTCCCACCCCCACTCAGAAGAGGCAGGCTAGAGTTTCCCCTCTTCTGAGTTCCAGGCTGTTACAGTTAGGATGCTGCTGAAGATTTGAGAAGTACCTTTTCCCTCCGAATTTGGCCAAAACCCCTCCCACAGTAACTCTGAGGCAGGAGCATGTGATCCTCCCACAGCCCTCCCTCACCTTTTCCATGCACCTATAAAGCTTCTCCTCAACTCTCAGTTAAGCAAATTGAGGCTTTTAAGGATCCAGATGCTCAGCTCTTCAAAAGCCAAAGCCAGATCCCGTGCTTCCTTCCTGTAAGCCGTCCTCAGAATGAAAGACTGGGCGCCATCTGTTTCCCGAATTTCCCGGCCTGCCGTCCGACTGACCACTCTGTGTGTGGGTGTGTGAGTCTCTGCTGTCCTCTCCCTCCACAGGCTGCCTGTTTGACCGCAAACTCTGCTCTCACCTCGAAGTCTGTATTCAGGGTGAGTGAGGCCCAAGTACAGGACTTGTAAGATGGGAGCACAGTATAAGGCAAGTGGGGTCCTCAAGAGAGAAAGGCGGTCAGGCTTGGGAAGAAGACACTGGCCTGGAGGGGCAGAGCTCTAAAGCCAAGAGAGGAAGTACACAGGGTGCTATTCATTTGTGAGCTGGATTTTGGAAGGCCTCTTGTCCCAGACCCCTGATAACACCATTTTTATGCTCCTAGATGGCTTGTTTGGACAGTGCCAGGTGGGAGTGGGGCAGGCCCGGCCCCTGTTGCAAGTCACCTCCCCAGTTCTCCAACGCTTACAAGCTGTGCTGCGACAACTCATGTCCCAAGGTGAGGTCTGCGTGCACTGGAGGAGAGGTGGGGAAGAGAAGGCCCCCTGATCCAAAGGCTTCTCTTCATGGAACGTTTCTGTCACACTCACTTCTGCAACTTCACCTTCCTACATCTTGCTGGAGAAAGGGCAAGACGAGGAAGGGGATGGAACCCTACAGATGGGCTGCTCACATTAGGACTCTTTGGAGGAGCCCTGGGAAGGCAATAGATGAGATCGCTGGGGGAGGGCAGCATCCTTTTCTTTGGGACCAGCCCCACTCCCTACCACTGTCTCAGTGTTTCAGAGCCATGAATTCTAGGATTCTCAGATAGAACACCCCATTCATCCAACTCACTCATTCAGCAGGTACCTGTGGAGTACTTCCGAATGGCAGGCATACTTTTAGAAGTTTGGGATGTGTCAGGAATAAAACAAAGATCTCTGCTTCCTGGCAGCTATGTTTAGGGGATAAGAGAGGAAACACTAAGTTAGAAGATATATCACATATTAGAAGATTATAAGTGCTGTGGAATATTAAAGCAGGATCAAGTCACCAAAAATGGTGAGGTGGGCTCTGCAGTATTAAATCAGGTGACCACTCCCTATTAGTAGGGGTCCTACAAGATCAGATAATAGCTTCCCATATATTTGGGAAAGGAGTGGGCCAATTAGATTCTTTCTCAGCTTTGTGCTGCACTCAGCCACTTAGCTTTGCTCTGCTTCTTCCTTTTAGAACCCAGCACCTTTATGGATTTCAGCTTTTGGTCTCTGGTTTGGTACTGTGTTCTCTAGAATGATCAGTTAACAGAACTGCTTCAATTTGAATCAGTTATTCTGGTCTTTGGTTTTGAATCTGTAAATGAAATAACATGTTTTATTCTATTCAGCATTTTGGAGTAATGAATTTACATTTAGGTATGAGTGTCTGAGAGCTTTTCTCACATTGTTTTGTGAGTAGTGCTTAACAGTAATGTTTAAAAATCCATCCTTCTTTTCCTCTTATTAGTAATATATGCCGATTGTTGAAAATCTGCAAAAAAATAGAGAAGCAAATGGAAGAAAATAAAAACAACCCAAATCACAAAAAAATCAATCAATCAATCAGATGACCAGGGTAGACCTTAGTGAGGCTACAAAATTTGAATAGACTTTTAGGAAGCAGAAGACTTCTCCAGGGAGAGGAGTGCTTCAGGAAGACCAAACAGGTAGGACAAACCAGGACCGGAGCTCAAGTCTGAGAAACATATGGAGACCAGTGTGACCACAGAGGGGTCATGGAGAGGAAGAATATATTATACAATCAGGAAAGTAAAAGGAGGATGGGTGCAGATCACCGTGGGGATTTATAGGAGAATGTATGGGTAGTGGCTTTACTCTGAATAAGAGAGGAAACAAGGTTTGGACCTTAGGGATGTATGATCTAAAATGATCACTTGCTGCTCTGTCAAGAATACGAGAGGACTTGGTGCATACGGAAAAGAGGACCAAGGATCAAACCTTAGAGAATTCTAATATTAAGTCAAAGATTTAGCTCTAGAGAATACTACTATTAATATTAATTAATATTAAGAGGATAAGGAGAGGAAGCTGAGCATGGTGGGACACACCTGAAATACCAGCAGCATGGGAGGCTGAGGTAGGAGGATTAAAAAGTTTGAACCCAGCCCAGGCATGTTGGTGATTTAGCAAGACCCTGCCTCAAAATAAAAAATAAAAAGGGGGTTAAGAATGTAGTTCAATCCCCAGTACCAGGAGGGAAGAAAAAGAGGAAAAGAAAAAGGATAAACAAGGGAATCTGGGGAGAGGCCAGTGGGGTAGGAGGCAAAGAATCTTCAGTGGTCTGGAAGCGAGATGAAAATGTAGCAAGGAGAATGGAGTGGTCAACTGTGTCAAATGAGGGTGGCAGATTAAGTAAAATGAGGTCTAAACACTGACCACCAGATTTACACATGCAGAACTTGCTAGTAATCTTTATGAGAGCAGCTTCGACAGAGTGGTTGGGAATAAAATACTGAATAGTGTGGATTAAGAAGGAATGGGAAGCTGGGCACACACGCCTGTAACCACAGCTACTCAGGAGGCTGAGGCAGGAGGATAGCAAGTTGCAGGCCAACCCGGGCAACTTAGCAAGACCCTTTCTCAAAATAAAATAATGATGATAAAAATGGCTGAGGTGTAGCCCAGTGGTAGAGCACTTGACTAACATGTATAAGGTCTGCAGTTCAGTTCCCAGTACCACAAAAAGAAAGAAAAAGAGGAAAGGAAGGGAAGCAAAAGGAAAAGAAAAACAAACCAGAGAAAAGGATGATGTAGGAAGTAGGGGAGAATTGTGGGAAAGGTGTTCTTGAGTACATGATAACAGAGAGTTCATCTAATGTTAACAGGAAGGACGGCAGGTATAGAGGTTGGTAGATCCTAGAATATGAGTGAATAGCAGCTCAGATTATAAACCCAGATCAGGGAAGAAAGAATGAGGTGCAGAGTGGGAGGTTATTATTTTGGAATAGGTGACTGAGCTCTCCTGAGAGCAGAGTTTCATGGGGCAAATGGTCAAACATATCTTCCTCAGAGCCACACATGGTGCTCCATGCCTCTGATCCCAGCACTCTGGGAGGCTGAAGCAGGAAGACTGCAAGTTCAAGCCCAACCTGGGTGACACATAAGAACCTGCCTCAAAATAAAACATAAAATAAAGCATGTAGTTCATCGGGTGAGGTTCAGGATCAATAACAACAATTGTGATGAACATAATAGAATGTATTGGAAGTTCATTATGTGGCAGGCACTATTGTATTTAATATGTGCTATTTTAATGATCACAGTTTTAGGAGGTATAGATTCCCATCTTGTATATGAGAGAATTGAGATGAGAAGATTGAACCTCAGCAACTTGCCCAAACTTACTCAACTCCGCAGGGGCAGAGGCAGCCTGACTCTAAAAGCTGTCCCCAAAGCTGGGTAGAAGGTAGCTCTGATCACCCAGCAAGTCTTCAGGCCCCTCCACTGCCTCTCTGCCCCTCCAAACACAGTACCCTGCAGCGTACACTTCTGATCTCCACTGGCTTGCATTACTGGGCCCAAGCCAACCCTGTCCTTTAACCCCAACAGGATTGTCCTGGCATGATGACCTCACCCAGTATGTGATCTCCCAGGAGATGGAGCGCATCCCCAGGCTTCGCCCCCCAGAGCCCCGTCCGAGGGACAGGTAGGGAGCCTTTCTCAACCGCCATAAGGTATTGAGGCTGGTAGTCTTGGTCTTCCTGGTGGATGGAGGGAGGGGCACACCAAGGCCAGCAGGCTGGGGCACAGGTAAAAGAGGCTCAGGAATGGTCACTCTGACATCTCACGAGCCCAGGAGGAGCTGAGCTCACCCTGGGGATTCACCAAGACAGAGCATTAAAAAAAAATACTTTGAAAAATGTTGATGTTTTAAAAGAAATATCCAGATAGTCCTCATAGGCAAACTAGAATTTTTTTTTTTAATTTTAGAAATTAAAGGAGGAAAATACTAACAGATCGACAACATTTTACAAAATAGCATAGGATCAGTACAGACATTATAGAGTTACAAACAGAGTGGTAGGAATTAACAATGCTTATTATATTACATATTGATATCTTCAATGTAGTTTCTCATGAAAACACATATAGACATACAAAGCTAATCAACCAATGCCTCACTGACAGTTTCTTTCAACAAGGAAATACAGGACAGTAGAACACCCGTGTTAACTATCTTGCATATACATATATGCAAACTTTCTCCTTCTTTCCCTTCTCTTTTCCCATATCCCAGTTATCCTTTACCTATGAGTGCTTTCCTATCAATTCTCAATGTCTATCATATCTCCTAGATTAAATTAACTCTTTCAGGCTTTACACTAGGGAAACAATGCGGTGCTTGCACATGTATGTTTGATTTATTTCACTTCAAACTAGAATTTTGTTGAACCAAAGCTGTTTACTATTCAGTTTCATTACTACATGAAATTATTTATTGCGGGAGGTGTCACCATCTTCCCATGGTTAGGACCCATATAGGCGAGGCTTGGACCCTGCAAGCCTTGAGACAGGGCCACGAGGTCCATGGAGCTCAGATGATGACACTGGGACAAAGAAAGCAGTGGTGGGGGTGAGGCAGGACAGTCTTGAGTGTTTGGACATCTGCTTCAAGAATCAGGAGTGGGGACGTGGCATACAGGGACAACCAGGCAAACCACAGCCATAGTTTATGTCAAGAGATTCCAGCTATATCCCTGGGTCCCATCCTCGCCTCTCTGCCCCTAGCCTCTAGCTCCCCTAGCCTCTGTGGCTGTGTCTCAGGGACCTAGGGATGCTCACCAAGGAGGCAAATACCTCCCCACAGGCTTGGCCCTCTGGCTGATCTCTATGCCCTTCTGATCATCTCTCATGCCCTGAGGCCACCTCATTTCTTAAGAGGTCAGGTCTACTCCAAATGCTGACCCTGTCTGGCCCACACCATCTCTGCCTTGTAAATTCTTGCTCAATACAACCACCACCACACACACATACACACACACAATTTTGCTTTTTTCCCCAGATCTGGCTTGATGCCCAGGAGACGTGTTCCTGCTGGGGAGTTGCTCCTACAGGGAATCCCCACAGGCTCCGCCCCTGCTGCTCAAGGGCTTCCTCGATCTCCAGTCGGTGGGGGTGGAGCTGGGGCGAGCTCCCCGCTGTCCTCTCTGCAGGCTGAGCTGCTGCCCCCTCTCTTGGAGCATCTGCTGCTGCCCCCGCAGCCTCCCCACCCTGTCCTGAGTTATGAGCCTGCTCTACTGCAGCCTTATCTGTTCCACCAGGTAAGCCTTCCACCTCGGCCCAGCCCCAACCCAAATCCCCCAGCCCTGATTTCTGCTCTTACCCAAAACTCTGGTTACTACAGTTTGGCTCCCGTGATGGCTCCCGGAACTCAGAGAGCTCCCCAGGAATGGTCAGTGTTGGGCCCCTGCCCAAGGCCGAAGCTCCTGCCCTCTTCAGCCGAACTGCCTCCAAGGGCATGTTTGGAGCCCACCTTGGCCACTCCTATGGGGACCTACCAGGGCCCTCACCTGCTCAGCTTTTCCAGGACTCAGGGCTGCTATACTTGGCCCAGGAGTTACCGGTGCCGGGCAGGGCCGGGACACCGAAGCTACCAGAACAAGGGAGCAGCAGCCGGGCAGAGGACTCCTCGGAGGGTTACGAGGAGGAGGGGCTCGGTGGTCCTGGGGAGAAGTCCTCTTCCCCAGCAGAGCAGCCAGGTAACTTTCTTCACTATCCACTGCCCTGTCTGTAGGGGCTGCTCTGGGATAAACATAGTTTTTTTCTGAGTATGCATGCATTGGTTAACTTGTCCCAAAAGCCACGCATGCATTCAGTTAAAGTCTGCTGACAGCTGATCCATAAGGCACAGCACAGGTGGGAGTAGACTCGGGTGTGGAGCTGACAGAACTTTTCTTCAAGTGGAGAATCAAGCTGTCCTTGGTGGGCCTGTGGTTTTGGCCTTGGGCCCGGGGAGGTCTTTCCCCCAAGTGTGCACAGGGGCCGGGAAGTGCAGAGCATCAGTATCCTGATATTTGAGAAGAATATATGTGTTAGGCCCCCTTCCTCACCCATCTGCATTCCCACAAGTCCATCCCACCCTCAGCCCTAAGCTCTGTCTCTGGCTCCCAGCAGATGTGACTCTGCAGAGACTGGCGGCTGTGCTGGCAGGGTATGGGGTGGAGCTGCGCCAGCTGACCCCTGAGCAGCTCGCCACCCTCTTGACCATACTGCAGCTGCTACCCAAGGGTTCAGGAAGAAATCTAGGTACGTGTCCAGGGAGAGAGAACAGCGACTCCCAGCTCTTGTCCTACCTCTTAACGCCACATGCAGTAGCCTGGAGAGGAAGAGTCAGGGTCAAGGGAAGAGAGGTTTTGTTTTGTTTCATTTTGGTTTGGTTTGATTTTTATTTTTTCAGTGCTGAGGATAGAACCCAGGACCTCATGCGTGTTGAGGGAGAGCTGTACCACTGATCTATATCCTCAGACCAAGAGAGTTCTTCTGAGCCACAAGGTTGGAGGGTGAGCTGAGGGGTTAGACCAGGAAAAGACCTGAGGGTGTGAGCATGGATAAGAGGCATCAAGAAGGGGAGATCAATGCTAATGATGACCTCAGGGTCATGACCATGTGGAGGAGAAGCCAATAATTGATAGAGGGAAGACAGAACAAAGAATAGCTTTGAGAGCTAGGCCAGTGATGGGGAACGGTTAATAAAACAATGACTTCTACAGCAGAAGCAAAGAGGAGTGAACCATCCATAGAATGGGACCATTGATGGGGTCTTGATCACTAACTAAAGAAAGAGGTCACAGAAAGTAGAACAAGCTCAAGGCTCTGGCCTGTCTTCCACTGTATTGTGTGGCCTTTGGGCTTGACCTTTTCCCCAGGTTCTTGTCTTTCCTGTCTTTGCAGGAGGAGTGGTAAATGTTGGAGCCGATATCAAGAAAGTGAGTCTCCAGCCCCTTCCTGAGCTGGCACCTCGTGGTAGCACATCTGTTTCTTGGAACCTAAATCTTAGGGTTGAGGCCCAGAATTTATATTCTCCAGACCCTTGTTTTTGGAAAACTAAGCCCCAGAGACTTCGCATCATTGCCTGTCCTCTCCCATCTAGTTGATGGTACAGATAGGAGTAGAAATCAGAATTCTTGTTTTCTTTTCTTTTCTTTTTTTTTCCCACATAGGATCTACTATGTAGCTCAGGCTGGCCTTGAACTCACTGTGTAGCCCAGGGTGGTCTCGAACTCACAGTGATTGCTGTGCTTCAGCCTCCCGAGTGCCAGGATTACAAGCATGTGCCACCATGCCTGGCTCTAGAAATCAGAATCCTTGATGTATGCCTCTTTTCATTACAAACCTTTCTCACCGTGCTCTTACAGCAAGATAGAGGGTGAAAGCAGGCAGCCTGCTGCAGCCCTGTAGCCTGCGAAGCTCCGCTTCTCAGTTTTAAGTGTTGGACTTCTAGGATGTTTCGGCTAAATAGAAGTCTAAAACCCTTTGCCTGCCTGTTAGTCTTTCAGTCTCACCCAGCTTTCTGGTTCATGAAGCTCCTCTCACTCCAACCCCATTCTGAGAATTTACAACCTGTGGTTCACTCATTCACTCATTCATTCATCCATTCATCCATTCATCCATTCATCCATTCATCCATTTGTCCATTCACTTGGCTCACATTTTGGAGCTGTGCTTTCTATACCCAGCACTGCATTGGGCCTTGGGTGTAGAAAGCTAAATAGATTTAAAGCTCCACTGTGGAAAAATCCGAGTCCAGCTTGGACCTTCTTCCCCAGCCCCTCCACTGTCTAGAAGCCAATCGCCATGCTCTCTTCTAACAGACAGTGGAGGAGCAAGCGCAGGGCGGAGACACAGCAGAGCCTCCACCTCCCGTATCCTCCCTTCCTGGACACCCCACTGCCAACCCCACCTCCAGTAAAGTCCAGCTGGTGCTGAGCCCTGGCCCCTCTGAGCCCCCCAAAGCAGCCAGTCCCCCAGCCACACCCATCCTGCTGGAGAAGAAAAGTCCACTGGGCCAGAGCCACCCCACAGTGGTGGGACAGCCTTCAGCTCGGCCATCACCAGAGGAGTATGGCTACATCGTCACTGACCAGAAGTAAGGGCTCCAACTGGGGGAGCCTTCCTGTCCTCTGGGGGTGGGTCCTAGCAGGAAGCAGAGAACAGAAGCCCAGAAGTGAAGGAGACTGGGAGGTGGTGGGCAGCTCGGCACCCCAGAGGTGACCCATTTGAAGAAAATGGCTGAGGGTCCCCACCTCCCTTCCTCTGCCTGCTCCCCGCCTCCAGACCCCTGAGCCTGGCCGCAGGAGTGAAGCTGCTGGAGCTCCTGGCTGAGCACGTGCACATGTCCTCGGGCAGCTTTATCAACATCAGGTGGGGCTGGTACCTGGGTGGGTGGCAGCAAGGATCTAGAAAGCAGCTTGATGAGGCGGTGGCTGGAGGGACTCAGGGAGGAGGGGAAGACAGCCCTTGGGTCAGAGAGGCTCCCAGCTGTATTGAAGGTGTAGTCACACGTAGCCTGCTGCTTGCTCTGTGTAGTGTCTGCCTGTTACCAGACGCCCTGTACTGAGTGCATCACCGGTCTGCTCCAGCCCCATCCTCTAAAGGGGAGAGGGCCAGAGTTGGCTTCTTTCTCTGTTACTCTGGGGATTATAGGGAGCAAAGCAGTAACACAGCTCCTGTTTGGCAGTGTGGTGGGACCAGCCCTCACCTTCCGCATCCGACACAATGAACAGAACCTGTCTTTGGCAGATGTGACCCAGCAAGCTGGTAAATATTGCCCCAACAGCAACCCCAGGCTTGGCCCCGGCGCATCTTAATGTCCAGGCCTGTGGCTGATGCTGCCTTGAAATATTCCCAATCCACATGGACCCTGCTAGGCCTAGCATGAGACGGGGTAGAGATCACATGTGGCTGGAGAGAGTCTGACGTGCACCTTCTCTGCAGGGCTGGTGAAGGCTGAACTGGAAGCACAGACAGGGTTCCAGATCTTGCAGACAGGAGTGGGACAGGTATGCACTAACTGGAGAATCCGCAAAAGCCCCAGAGGCCCGACATTACCCACGGGGGATGGAGGCAAGCTTGAGGGGGAAATGAAGCTGAAACCTCCTATATCTGGCTGGCCAGACCCTCCCCATGAAGTTCTAGTTCTGACCAGCAGGTGGCCCCAGTGGATCCTTCCTGGGGGACCTGCTCTCAATAGGAAGCCTTGTGCTTGGAAGAACTAGCAGAGATACCCCTGGCCTCCTGGAGCAGTCTTTAAATTCCAAGGGAAAACCTTGCACAGAAGGGCAAGGTTCTCAAAATACGTTTCTATTCTGCATCCACACTGAGGCCTCATACTAGGATTCCACTCCTTGGCTTCCCTGTCCACGTCTCCATGTCCATCTTAATATGGAAATTCTCCAAACCCCATGAGGTCTCTGGCATTGGAGTTGATCTAATGGGGACAGAAGAGGATTGGAGCCCTTCTGCCTGTTACTGCTCACAAAACTGCCCCAGGAGCTATCCTAGCAAGGATCGGGGTGTGGGACCGGGTGAGGAGAAGCTGCTAATCTCCCCTGATTCTGGTGTTGTCTCCACAGAGGGAAGAGGCAGCTGCGGTCCTTTCCCGACCAGCCCACAGCACCAACCCCATGCGCTCTGTGCTGCTTTCTCTGGTGGCCCTGGCCGGTGTCGCTGGGCTGCTAGTGGCCTTGGCCGTGGCCCTGTGTGTGCGCCAGCATTCGCGGCAGCGGGACAAAGAGCGCTTGGCAGCTCTGGGGCCTGAGGGGGCCCATGGTGACACTACTTTTGAGTACCAGGTGTGCAGCCCCAGAAGCCTGTGGAGACAGAAAGTGCGGGAGGCTTGTGAATCTGGTTCTTCATGAGGCGTAGGTGGCAATAATGTGGGGAGCGAGCCCTGCCCCCTGGAACGCCCAGGTGGAGGGGAGAGAGGCCTCAGGAGCCATCCTGGGGAGGCACTTCTGAGTGGATGGAAATATGACCAGATGGTTACTGAGAGTCTTCTCAATGCACCGGCCCTGAGCTTCTGAGGCACTGTTCAGTAACAACTAAGGCTGTTAGTCTGTCCAGCAGAAGACCCCGAAAGGGCAGAGGGTCCTACCCTAGAGGGGCTGGGTCCGTTCAGAGTCAATCAGGATCGAGCCAAGGGGCCCACACCCTCAGGCCCCACCTAATCCTTCATCTGCAGGACCTGTGCCGCCAGCACATGGCTACGAAGTCCCTGTTCAACCGGGCAGAGGGTCCACCCGAGCCTTCACGGGTGAGCAGCGTGTCCTCGCAGTTCAGCGATGCAGCCCAGGCCAGCCCCAGCTCCCACAGCAGCACGCCATCCTGGTGTGAGGAGCCTGCCCAGGCCAACATGGACATCTCTACAGGACACATGATTCTGGTCAGGACAGGGCCTGCGCCCAGAGTTGGGAGGGGACAGGATGGCGGGAGAAGCAGGACTGGTGGTACGGGCCAGAGCCAGGCTGTGGTGCCCCTGTAGGCATACATGGAGGACCACCTCCGGAACCGGGACCGCCTGGCCAAGGAGTGGCAGGCCCTGTGTGCCTACCAAGCAGAGCCGAACACCTGCGCCATCGCTCAGGGGGAGGGCAATAGCAAGAAGAACCGCCACCCCGACTTCCTGCCATGTAAGTGAGCCTAGTTGCTGGCCTGCCCTCGCCTCCCGCCCCTGGAGGGCTGTAGGGAAAGGGCTGGGATGCTGGATCAGGCTGAGTGGCAGAGGTCCCAGGACCCAATGACCAGAGGCTATCGGGGGTGGGGGGATGTGTGGTCTGTGCAGATGACCATGCCCGCATCAAGCTGAAGGTGGAGAGCAGCCCCTCTCGCAGTGATTACATCAACGCCAGCCCTGTTGTGAGTGGCTCTGACTCCAACCCCCACATCTGCCCCTCCTCACTTCTTTCCCTGTGGTCACCTCCCATCCCACCTAGGGTCCTGGAATTTGGGGCCTGATATCCTAGCATGGAAATGGGGGCTTCTCAGCCTTCCCCACATCCTGCCCACTCCCTTTTACCTAGCATCTCCATAAGGCATTTCCCATTCTGGCTCTTGATACATCTTCTCTGCCCCCAGATCGAGCATGACCCTCGGATGCCAGCCTACATCGCTACCCAGGGACCACTGTCCCATACCATCGCAGACTTCTGGCAGGTGGGCTCCTAAGGGAGGGCTCCCCTAGGGACCAGGGGCCCTTGTGGCCAGGCAGGTCCCACCTAGGGAGTTTAGAGTGCAGCTTACCTGGGTCTCTGTCCCTAGATGGTGTGGGAGAATGGCTGCACCGTCATTGTTATGCTGACCCCACTGGTGGAGGATGGCATCAAGCAGTGTGACCGCTACTGGCCAGATGAGGGCTCCTCTCTGTACCATGTATATGAGGTCAGGAGAACTGCACAGCAAGGGGACAGCGGGAGTGGGGAAAGTGGATGATGCTCTAGTTGTTCATATATTTGTATGAATATTCATGTGCACAATGTATATATGCACACATATATTCACATATCTACATATATATGTGTACCTGTATGACCCACCTTGGTCAAAAAGCATTAGTAAGGAGTTATGATAAAAGTACAGAAACAGGCTGGGGATATAGCTCAGTGGCACAAGCACCTGCCTGGCAAGCACAAGGTCCTGAGTTCAATTCCCAGTACCAAAAACAAAAAAAAAAAGAGAAGTACAGAAACAAAATCATAAGACCACTGAAACTCAGATAAGCTAAGCACCAGGTGTATTCGAGATGGGGAAAATGCATGTTCCCAAAAATGAAGGTTAATACTCTCGTTTCTCTTCAGATCATATAAATTTTCCGCCTTTTACAAAAATGGAGATTAAGATCTCCTTTAATCGAGCCTAACTTAGCTCTGAGTTACCCGGTGACCAAAGCAAAGAAAGAAATACCAACGGTCACCTATGTTGCTTACGTAAAATAGACATAAACCTTTTCATTAGGAGAGAAGACAGATGGCGGTGGGTGGCTAGGCAGAGGCAAGGCTGAGGAAGGAGGAAGAGATTCCAGACAAATGCGCAGTGACCCTCTGTAAGACAAGAGACCTTAAGAACAATCAGAAGTTTCTCGTCAACATATGACCCTGGATAGTAATTTTTTCATCACCAAGTGAGCCCTCAGTAGTATTTTTTAAAGCCTTTTATTGGTCCTATTCATGAGTCAAGAAAAACTCAAATAGAAATATTATGGAATGTCACGAACCTTTATGGAACGTCCATGTTCATCTGTGATCCATCTGTGAGGAAGAGGAAGGTGAAAACGAAACCTGGGTTGTAAAGCTATCAGTTGTCCTGAGCAGTAAATAAGCCACACAGGCAGCCAGGATTCTTGGGAACAGCTGGGACAGCTGGGGCGGGTGGGGGGGTCAAGTTCCTCGAGGACTTAGATTTAAAGGCACCTGGGAGGCTGGGGGGACTGGCGGGAGCGCGCTCAGAATGGGCTGGTCTGGGCAGGTGAACCTGGTGTCCGAGCACATCTGGTGCGAGGACTTCCTGGTGCGGAGCTTCTACCTGAAGAACGTGCAGACGCAGGAGACGCGCACGCTCACGCAGTTCCACTTCCTCAGCTGGCCGGCAGAGGGCACCCCGGGCTCCACCCGGCCGCTGCTGGATTTCCGCAGGTGAGCGAGCCGGAGGAGCTGGGGCTGCGACACAGATTCGGGGTGCAGCCCACCCCCACCCCCGCGCTCCTCCTGGGGCCCCGGATCTGATGTGGCGCCCCAGCCTCTGACAGCCCGCTCCACGACCCCGAGAGCAGGCGCCGTGCTCTACCTAGCAGTGCCATCTCCCAGCCCACCTCGCGCCCTCCTTTTCTCCCCGCCTCTCCGCGCTGGTCTCCTGCTTTACAGGTTTCCCTGGAGAAGGGCGCTCTTCATTCCCAGCCTGTCCCTCTCCTGAGCCCCAGCTCCTGGCCTGCGCTCTTTCCCCGCTCCAGCCTAGGCGATGCGGGCCCCTGCGCTGCGTTTTCTCCCTCCCTCCCCGCACCGCCCCATCCCTCTCCCTGCCTTGTTCTCTCCATTTCTCTCTTGCGCTCATTCTTCTTTCTTCTCCCCTTTTCTCCTTCATCCGTGTTATCTGTCACTCTTCCTTCTGTCTCTTTCTCCCTCTCTGCATCTCTCCCTCCCTCCCACTTTCCTCCTCCCAGCCTTCTCTCCCCTTATTTTCTCCACCTCCCTCCCCTCTCTGCCTCTGTCCTTCTCTCCTCTGTTCTCGCCACCCCCTTTTCCGTGCTTTTCTCTCTCCCACCCGTTTTCCCTCCTTCCCTCTCTCCCTCCCTCACCCCTGCCAGTGTCCTTTTTGTCATCTGCAGCTAACATTCGCATTCCAGTTGCATAGTCACAAAAGTGCTCACTGGCAGGTGTGGCTGCTGCTCAGACAGGACCGGACCTGTGGGTGGGGACCACCCCAAAGCTACTGGGAGGGCTAGGCTGGGGGCACAGGAGAAGGCTGAGGTGGTCAGAGGGAGGAAGAGAAGAGCTCTGGATTTGCAGACTCTTGTACAGAGTGGCAGCTGGACAGAAGCTAACTGGGGACTTAGCCGGTTATGCCACTGCAATCAAAACCACACCGGGCTCCAGCCTCCTCTCCCTTTCCCCGTGCAGACCAGTGGCTGAGAAGGCTGTGTCCTCAGGCAGCACCCATGGCTCTGCAGCCTGCTCCCACTGCTATGTCCCCTGCCGGGCTGGCCTGGGGTCTCTAGTGCTGGGCGGAGGAGCAGAGCTGGGGTGGAGACCTGGATCTGGTTTCCAAGCCTCAGAGCAATAGTTGCTAACTAGGGTCCCTGGAGCTTGAACATCTTGAATGCAATGCCAAACTCTTTAATCATATTTTAAAAATTGTCAGAGCTAGGCATGGTGGTGCATACCTGTTACCCCAGCTGACGCAGGAGGACCATAAGCTCAAGGCCAGAATGGGCAACTTAGAAGACCCTGTCTTAAATTACTAATATTTTTTAAAGGGGGGCTGGGGATTTAGCTCAGCGGCAAAGCGCCTGCCTGGCAAGCACAAGGTCATGAGTTCGGTTCCTGGTTCCGGAGAAAAATCAAAAATCAAAGAAAATAATATTTTTTAAAGGCTGGGGATGTAGCTCAGTGCTCTCTGGGTTCAACTTAAGTATTTCCCGCCACCAAATCATGATCAGGCTAGGGATATAGCTCTGTGGGAGCTAGGCACTAGCCTAGCATGCACAAGGCCCTGTGTTCCAGCTCTAGCAACACACACACACACACACACACACACACACGGTAAAAATCCCAACAGAAACACTGTGTAAATCTGTTTTCAGACTCCCCAGGTAAGCTAAAAAGTACCTGTTTTTAGACTACAATTAGATAAATTCAGCTGGATGAGTTCTCCAGGCAAATTAGTTGTTTAATACACTTTGGTGAAATTCCTCTAGCAGGAAGGCAAATTAATAAATGAGGTCCTAGAAAGTGGCCCAAGCAAGCTCGTTCACCTCCCTGTGTTCTCTTGCCTGTAAAATGAGGATGATGATACATCCTTTAGGGGGCTTTTGTAGGACTTAATAAGGTAAGATAAAGTCTAGTTTCAGTGCCTGCCATACCCCAAGGGCTCAGTTAATTCCAAGTACCATTTATTATCACTATTACTAAATGGCTGAAAACCACTGCTGGGGCCACTGTTCAACTCCAGCCCTTGGGTACACTCACTGGTGTGCTAAAAAGCTATGCAGATTACTGTAATGCATTCAGTCACCTGGCCCTTTAGCTACAAGACCAAGTCCCAAGCTTCCCCTGAAGCCATCTGATAGCCTCTGAGAAGGTCTCCCTCGTCCTGGCCCCTAGGGAATATCAGGCGTCTACTGGTAACTCAAACCAGGAGTCATAAGGGACAATGAAAAGGTAGGCAGGGCCACTGAGGGAGGGGGAAATGCGGTGCTCCTCACTGAGCTCTGGTGGCGGGCAGCAGGGAAAGCCCAGAGGCCCAAGTGGACCCCAGGTCTGAATATAACGAAGCCTCAGAACGCCTGTGCAGAAGTGAGGCTGAGCCAAGGACGGCGGCAGCACCACGTGCAGAGTTGAGGAGGTGTCCTCCCCTGGCAGGGGACCTCTGTGTCCAGTGTGAGCTGACATCACAGCTGGTGAGGACCACCAGGAGCCTGAGCTGGGAGAAGAGCTGGGGTGGTTGTGAAGGACAGCAGAGGGACAGAGCAGACAGACACCTTGGAGTTACCAGAAAGCCTATCCCTCTTGGGGATGGGCAGAGGTGGCTGTTCATGTTAACATGTATCATCATTATTAGCAGCTCCCATCCACTGAGCACTACTCAAGCCACACCTCTTTACATGAATTATCTCCTGTAGCCATCTTAACCCCAAGGAAAAGGTGACTAGTATCATTGTCCCCATTTTACAGGAGAAGACTGAAGCTCAAAGAGAGCAAGTCGGTTATTCTAGGCATACAGCTTGGGCCCTTAGCTCATACAAGACAAGGCACACCCATTGCCGCTCATGCCAGCTCTGATTCCTTCCCAAGGCCCCAACTCTTTTGTCCACCTCTTCTCCACCTCTGCCTTGGCCACATGGGAGAAAAGGTGGGAAGCAAGGCTGAGGCGCATGCTCAGCGCCCTCCCTCTCCGCTGTGCCCGCTGGTCCTCACACCCATTTCTCCTTGCAGGAAGGTGAACAAGTGCTACCGGGGCCGCTCCTGCCCCATCATCGTGCACTGCAGGTGGGTGGGGACCGAGGTGACAGACAGCCCAGGCCAGAGGACCCCAACTGGGCCTCCTGATCCCACCCCTCTCTGGTCCTGCTCCTCTCCCGTGCACACCTCATGGGCATGCTGCCAAGTGCAGCTCTTTGGCATCAGCAAATGACAGTTCACTGGCCAAATCTGGCACAGCTGCTTTTTAATGGCCATGTGCTAAGAATGGTTGAAGAAAAACAAGGAAAAAAGTATGTGACAGAGACTTTCTGTGGCCCATAAAGTCAGAAATCTTTACTATTTGGCCTTGTCTATAAAAGTTGGCCCAATGAAAGCCTGGCCCAGGATAGAGGACCATTCCCTTTCTGTCCTGCTACTGCAACCACAGGGGACAGCCTGGCTGTCCTTTTTGGTGATCCCGGTGCCTGGGACACCCCACAGCTCACAGGCTCTACATGTAAGGCCCGAGTCCCAGGGCCAGATGCTGGGCACATTCTCTCATCCCGGGCTCACATGCCCTGCTCCAGCCAACCCTTAAGATTGGCCAGTGTTGTTGGCCCAGCCCAACCCTCCATGCATCCCCATCTCTGCTGGACCCTGCGCTAAGCCTCACCAACTCCTGTTTCAGTGACGGAGCAGGAAGGACTGGCACCTACATCCTCATTGACATGGTACTGAACCGCATGGCAAAAGGTAAGGCCCATCCCCACTGTGCCTGTAGCTCCCAGGTCCTTGTTAGAGTCTCCCCAGCACCGAGGGGCCCAAGAGCCACGAGGAGCAGGCTGTCACACCTTTAGGCCTGGCCCAGTCTCCAAGCTGCCCACCCCAGGATGCACCAAGCTTTCTGTGTGCTGTCTTCCTCTGGACACCCCTGAACATCCCATATCCCACCCCATCTCCAGGAGTGAAGGAGATTGACATTGCTGCTACCCTGGAGCATGTCCGTGACCAGCGTCCTGGCCTCGTCCGCTCTAAGGTGACCATACTGCCCCATCCTGACCCTACTGCTGCTCCTCCCTAGCACCCCCTTCTCGGCCACCCTAGGAAATCAGCAGCAGCCTGCCTCCCCCCGACTCCCTATCTTCCTGAGGGGGATGCTCCTCCTTGAAAGGACCTGCCCAGCACCCTGACCCCTGGAAGGTCTCCCGTGGCAGGAGCAGAGGCCAGGCCTCCCCATAACCTTCCTGCTACTTCCCTTCCCCAGGACCAGTTTGAATTTGCCCTGACAGCGGTGGCAGAGGAGGTGAACGCCATCCTCAAAGCCCTGCCCCAGTGAGCCCTCCAGCCCCATGGTGGGCAGCCCAGCCTCTGTTCCCGCTGACTGTGTGAGCATCTATTTGTGCACCCACTCCTCCACCCCCACCTGCCACTTTGGCCCCCCTTGGGCACGCCCAGCCCTTCCAAGAGGAATGTAAGGAAGAGGGGAGCAGCAAGCACAGGCCAAGCCAGCCTCACACATGCCAAAGCCAGGCAGCCCACAGGGGAGAGGACAGGGCAGCAAGTCTGCCAGAGCCTTCTCCTGCCTGGGTTCCCTGGCTCCTTTCCGTGGTTCCGGATGCTCCTCGCCTGTCTGTGTCCCTCCCCCAGCCTGCTGTGTGAACAGGCACGCTGGGGGCACCAGCTTCCCCAGCCCTGCTGCTGCTGGGCTGCCACCTCGCTGCCACCCCGGGCCTCCTCCTGCCTCATGCCACTTAACCTCTCTCCCCTGGCATAAGAGAACATTTCTAGAAAAATCTACTTTTGTATCAATGTGAATAAAGTTAGTGTGTCGTCTGTGCAGCTGCAACCCACCCTCCTAAGCTCTTCTGTCTGCTCTGTTTCCAGACGCGTCCACCATCACAGCCCAGGTCTGTGTCGCCCTGTGGTCCCCCTAGATCCAGAGAGCCCTGGCGGACAGGGGCCACAGGGCCTGAGGGTACCTCCCTCAGGTTGAATAGCAGTGGGTAACAGTGAGGTGGGCATTTTTTACACTGTGCTGCAAGGTTGCCCAAGGTGACTTAGTCCTCACAAAGTCACTATCAATGACTACCCCCATTTTAGGAAGAAAAGACCTCATAGAGCATATGGCCAGGTAACAGACCTTGTAACTGGTGGAGTTAGGATTCGGACCCAGGCAGCCTAACCTCTACCACCTCTCCTGTCAGTTCCTGGGTCTGTCTCACTCCCTTCAGCCTCAGGTGTAACCTTCATATCATGCAGGATGGAAGTTAGGACCCCTGGAGGTGCCAGCCACATCTCACAGGACACTACAGCAAACTCGAATCATTCCAGACTGGGCCTGCTGGAAGGGAGCAGTTCTCCCTGTCTGTCCCTCCACCCTGAGGGTGTTCCTCCTCCCAGAAGGAGCCCTCATCTGCTGGTAATGAGGTGTCCTGGGACAAAGGTGGTGGCCACAGAAGTGAAGCTAGAAGAGCCTTGGGCCTTAGATACTTGTGGTTAGGGGTCATTTACCCATGTGCTTGCTAGGCTCAGCCTCAAAGAAAAAACAGGTGACTACCATCTGCGGGAGTGGGGCGTGAAGAGACCAGCCAGCCCCCACAGGCCCCCTACTATGCGCTGCTGGGGTACAGGACCTACATGCACAAAATTCCAGAGGCTACAAGTGGGGAAAACAGCTTTTCTGCAAGCTTCCATCAGTCAGTTTGTCTCTCTCCCTGTCTCTCCCTTTCTCTCTCTTGCATTCTCTCTCTCTCTCTCTCTCTCTCTCTCTCTCTCTCTGATTGGGAGCTTCAAATTCCTCATTCAGGACAGGCTCCTTCTTTGTATTGTAGAGCCGGACATGGCAGCACAAACCTGTAGTCCCAGCACCCTGGGAGGCTGAGCCAGGAGGATCACAAACTTGAGCCCAGCCTGGGCAATTTAGTGACTGCAAGACCCTACCTCAAAATTTAAAAAATTTTAAAGGGATGAGGATATATTTCAATGTGAAGGCCCTGAGTTCATTCCCCAATTAAAAACAAAACAAAAAAAAACATTGTAGGCTGGGTGTGGTGGCACATGCCTATAATCCCAGCACTCAGGAGATTGAGGCAGGAGGACTGCGGTGAGTTTGAGGGCAGCATGGGCTACATAGTAAGCTCAAGACCAACCTGGAATACATAGCAAGACCCTGCCTCAACAAAACAAACCACTATAGGCCCTTTGGCTACTGAAGGTGAGGCCAAGAGCCAGTCCTAGAATTGGTGGGTGGCAGGCCACACCACCCTGCAGGACAATGCAAAGGCACTTCTCCATGGCTGCAGATACGGAGATACAGGGCACAGTGGCCTGGCTCTTTCCTCTCTGGGCCCTGATGAGCTTGGGGCTTGTGCCTGGGGTGGGATTTACTTGTGCTGTCCTATGTGCCCCTGGCTGCAAGCTGAGAGGCTTAGTTTAGGAATCTTGGGGCTCCAAGGTTTTACCCCGTCATCGGCTTTCTGTGGTTCCCATACAGTCATCTTAACTCAGTCTGGTCCTGCCTGTGCTGTAGAGTGTTGGGGAGAGGCAATCTTAAGGGTATTAGGGAAACATTGGCTGCTAGGGAAAGACAGTTACAAGCCCCCAAGACATAAGTGCCAAGAATGTAAGCACTTCTTGAGGTTCCCTAATATAACTGGGGAGGACAAGCTGGTGAAAGGGCAGACTTCTACTGCCTGGTGACAGCTGGCATAAAGGAAGGTGTGAGGTCTGACATGTCACCCCCTGGTCCCATAGGGTCCCTCCTGAGCTACCCTGAAAAGAGGAAGACAGCATACCACTGAGCTCTCACAACTCAGTTTTATTGAATTCCAGTTTCCCTCTTGGTCTGAGCCCAGCCCGGCTGGCTCTGGTAGGTCTGTGGGACTCACAGTGTTACAGGGGCTAGCAGCACCCTCCTCCACCAGTCCCCTCCCAGGCTTTAGGCTCCCCAGGTAGGGAGGAGGAGAGGCAGCTGCCTGTGATGTTGGAAAGAAAGAATAGGCAGCAGGGTCAGAGGCCAAAGAAAGCCATTCAAGCAGCAGCATGCCCCGTGTTCCCAGCACACACCAGTGCCAACCACATGCCTCTGTAAGGGTGGCTTTCCCTTCCAAGCTGTGCCAGCCCACATCCATCAGCCTTCTAGGGCCACACCCTGCCTACTCTGCCTGCTGGCCCAGAAGAAGAGGACTTCTCCCAGATGCTGCAAGGTCTTGACCTGCCCACTCCAACCCTGGAGCTAGCAAGAAGCATCAGGGGAACCCAGGCTCAGGTCATTCCCCCTTCATCCACATCCTTGCCACCGCACCAGGGACAAAGCAAAAGACAAGATCTCCCCATTCACAGCAAGTGACTGGTGGGCCAGGGCTGGAACTACAAATCCCAAGAAACACAGCTCCATAACCAGGCACCAATTCTCCTGGGTGTAACCTATCAGAAATTTGGCTGGGTGCATTGCATTATGGGACTTGTAGTCCTCATGAGACAGCAGCAAACACCCAGGGAAGAGTACACAGGCTAAGACTACTGATGCCCCCCACCCACTGCCCAGGCCCCAGCTCTACACTCAAGCATGGGTGAGGGAGGAATGGAGTGTCCCCTCCCATTACATGGGTAAGGGTGCTGTCCTGTTGGAACTGTGAAGCGACTCTGCATCCTGGACATCCAGCTCAGAACACATCTGGGGAGAGAGCAGGGGCGGGTGACAGGAGAGAGGGTCAGCAGCAAGCCATGGAGGATGGAGCCAAGCATGCACACCTGGGTTGGCTGTGGGGCCGTTCCCTGAACCCTGATGCATGGCGGGGGAGTGGTATGGGATACAGTCCCCATCTAGGCCTCCCCCAGGGTCGCCCTGACCCTAGCCCCCCTCTCCGGGGTTAGCCAACCTCACCTCTGCCTAGTCCTGCAGCTGGGGCAGGCTGAGGCAGCAAGAGGAAGGGAGGAAGAGTAGATCCGGCTCCGAATCTGGATGGCTGAGAGGCTCCCGCCCCACCCAGCTAGCCTCCCCAGAAGACCTCATGGCCCCACCGGCCCCAGCATCTTCCTGGGCACAATGAGGCTTCTTGGGGAGAGAAGGAGAAGGGAGTCCTAGCCAGGTGGCAGTGAAAGCAAGCGATGCAGCCCGCAGAGAGCTGCAGAAAGCAGAGTGGGAGGAAGGAAAGCAGCACCAGAAGGGAAGCACAGACACGGTCAGAGCTCAACACTGCACAGAAACCAGGGGTCTGCAGCTGGACAAGGATAGCGGAGACTCCACTCAGCTCGAACTGCTTCCCAGAGGAGCTGCCAACTTGGGCTCAGAGCACCGCACCCCAGGCCAAGTCCTCCTTCCTTGACACCCTTGGCAACATGGGTGGCAGAGAACCTGAGCACAAAAGGCTCAACCCAAACCACTAATGCCCTCAGAAACTCCCACTTCACAAAGTGCATCCGACTCCCTCATGCCCTTTCATTACCCCAACACCCCGCCCCCCTCAGGGACCTATCAGCTTCCCCCAGGGACCTATCAGCTCTGGCTGAGCACAGCAAATCCGAAGTCCACACTGGAATGTGGCAGGCCCAGGAGGGAAACTTGTAAAGGGACGTGGAGTTCAGGCTCCCGCAACTCAGACCACACTCTGCTCTGCCTGACTCTGAAGCTGAGTCAAGACCTGAATCAGGTCAGGCTGGGCCTGGCCCTCAAAGGATGAGGCAGCGAGAGGCCTTCTCCTCTGGGGATGGGCTGGGTTTCGATGCCTCACCCCGGGCCCCCTCGTGGGTTCCCCCTGGACCTTGGTGCTGGGCCTTGGGCCGTCCCTGCTGTTGCTGCTGTGCCCCCCGCCCACCTGCCGGCTTCTGCCCAGCTGCTTCCATCTCTGACAGGCTGTAGGCCATGGCAAGCTGCAGGTCTTCATCCTCCTCAGAGAGGTCGCTGTCAGAGGGGCGTGGGGCAGGGGTCTGCCGAATCTGTGCACCTCCCGACCTGGAGGTGACTGACTGTTGCTGCTCACGACGGCTCAGCTCCAAGCCCAGTGCCAGGTCATCTGGGACACCTGCAAGAGCCGCAGCCACCATGAGGCCCCAGATCCAGGCTGGGGCATCCTGCCAGGCCACCACACACAGTGACAACCCTGACCACTTACAGCCTTTCTTTGGAACTGGCACACTAGCATGAGGCCCCGGGATACTGGGTAGGTGCCTAGGGAGGTATTCAGCTCCAGGAGGTACTGTTCTTTCTCTGTGGATGAGTTACTCAACCCCCGTATATCTCCCTTTCCTTGTCTATGAAACAGGAATGACGCTGCCTACACATACGAATCATCCCATTGGTTAAATATGTCAAGCCATGTAAAGTGGGTCACAACACAGTACTTCAGTGCTGACAGTTAAGCAAGGTTGGCCGAAGTGACAATCCTGGGGGGCGTGGTGTTGTGGGAAGAGTTCTGGTCCAGGAATCTTGTGCCCTGAGCTTGATTCCTGACTTATTTTACCCCTTGATGGGGAGGAATCTTGAGTCAGGGACTACTTAGATGTCAAGGTCATTTAACCAGGATGTGACTCAGTCTCTTGAAATAAAAATGGGACAATACCACCTATCTGCATATTCTCTTAGATGCTTTAAGAATACAAGGGATACTATACATGTGCAAGTGCTTTAAAAAAAAATAGTGAAGTGCTATGCAAATGTAAGGCATCCCCACCAACAACGGTGGTGACTAGGTGGCCCTCTGAGACCACTCTGCAGACTTCCCCCCATGGCCATCTCCAATCCTGCCAGTCTGGCTTGTGGCTGCCATTCTCTAGGGCCCACCCCCCAGGGAGTTCAGAAAGAAGTATTGGGAAGGGGGCCCAGGGGCTGGAGCTCCCTGCCACAGCCTGGGTGGTGGAGCCATTCCTCACCGTTGATTGAAACTGACTTCAGCTGCCCGTCCTCCTCCACTTCCACTCGCTCCTGCCCATTCTCCATGATTCTGTGGGAAACGGCACAGCCTAGTCAATGAGCAGTGACCCGTCCAGGCTCCGGTCACTGCAGGGCAGATTTTATATCTCAACACAGCTCCTGCCTCCACCCCTTACCCCCAGACCCCTTCACCTGTATGGCCCTAGGAGGCCTCACCTGCGTGTCGTGATGCGGTGTCCCTGGACAAAAGTGGTGGACGTCGAAACAGAGCGGAAAGCACCAGCCCCGGGACTGAAGGAGAAAGACGAGGAGGAGAAATCTGGCATTGGGACAAAGGAGGTAGAGGAAAGACTATTAGAGGGCAGCTTGGAGCTGCCTGCCAGGAACCAGAAGCCAGGAGCCTCAGGACCTCCCACAGCCCAGAGGCAGGGCTCCACATAGAGGACACAGGTCTGGGAAAGTGACAAGCTGCCACTAAGGACTCCAGGACTCAGAACTAGCAAAAATGGGAAGTGGCAGTGCTTACCAGAGTGCCCAGGAAAGGAGGAGGAGAAGGTAAAGAAGGGGCCAGAGTGTCGGGAACCCCGGTTCTGAAGCTCCGAGAAGGGGCCCAAGTCATCTGCAGCAAGTAAGCAGATTCACAGTCATCGGTGAAAACACCACCCCCCATGTGTGAACTTTGCTTTCAAGTCTAGAAATAGAGGCTCTGAGCACTTGGGTACATTTATGCTTTTGTTGTTGTTGCTGTTGGCCTTCACAGATTAAATTCCTTTCCAACACTGCATGGGAGAATGCTCACTGGTTAATTCTTCCCACAGTAAGGAACAGAAGGAGAGACAGACAGAAGGAAGGACAAGAAGGCCCCTTTCACAGAGGCAGAGAGCATCAGGTGAGGACAGGCAGGAAGAGCAAGTGGTCCTGCCTCTGCCATTTGCTCTGTGACTCTAAGCAAGTCATCTGTGGCTCAGTTTGCTCATCTGTAGATGGGGGTTAGAATTAGTCACCTCTCAGGGCCCACAAGAAGATGAGGGGATGTCGAATACTTGACAGAAAATCATTCTAAAGCCTGGCATATGTCGTTACGTGTACCACTACCACTCTTGTCACATGGTGCTTTGAGTCTTGCTCTCATGGCTGTTTTTGTGGCGCTCTAACAATGTAGTATTGTTGTTGTCATTTAACAAGGCCAGTCTGTAAAGTGACACTGGCGGGTCATGTGTGAGGTTCTGTCCCAGCTCTCACTGCACCCACACACGCTACACAAAATCTTCCGCCTGTGGATCCTGGTCCCTTCCCATCCCCCGCCTAAGGGCCTCCCAGCGGATGGAGGACAGGCCCAAAGGGGTTGGCTGAGCCCCCAAGTACTCACCAAAGAGCTCTGCAAAAGGGTCTCCACTGCCAAAGAACTCCCGGAAGACTTCCTCAGGGCTGCGGAAGCTGAAGGTGAAACCAGGCCCACCACCACCACCAGCTTCTGCCCGACAGGGGCCGGTTCCTGGAGAAAAGGCAGGATGAGAGGGCGCCTGGGATGTCCATCTTGCCCTGAGCCAGGGCATCCACCTAAGGCACTGCCAGGAACCTCAGAGAAAGCAGCCACGAGAAGGACCCACCTTGCCGACTCCACCCTGACCCACTTCCATCCCGGGGACCTGCCGCTCCACCTACCTGCCCCAGTCAGCCCTTCTCGGCCGTAGCGGTCGTAGATCTCCCGCTTATGCTCTGGAAAGACAGACCCAATCATTTCCCCCTCCCTCTGGGACATGGGTCTCCCCTCCCAGGTTAGGCCAACCCTCAGAGGACAGCAGGTGTTCAGGGGACACAGGCTGTGGGTTTTAGCAGCTACTATGCTCTTCACATGGCTGGCTTTTCCTCATCTGTAAAATGAACATCACAACAGCAACTACCTCATAGGAATACGGTAAGGATTAAATGAAATAATCCACATAAACTGCTTAGCATAGCAACTGGCACATGGTGTTTGGTGAACATGAGCTAGGGGTGTGTATCAGCAGTACAGTGCTTGCCTGCTATGCACAAGGCCTTGGGTTCAATCCGCAAATAAATAAGTGAATCATGTTAGCTAGTTGTGATCTGCCATCATTAATCAGGGCTTGCCTAAATGTTACTTCCTCAGAGGAACTTTTTATGACCACCAAACAAAATCAGGTGCCTAGTATTCCTTAACACATTACCTGCTACTCTCCTGTGGAATGCTTGTTACAATCTGTGACACCATCTGCATGTTACCTGGTTAGTGCCCACCTTCCCCTGACTAGAATAGGATAAACACCCACAGGCCAAGGAACAATGTCTGCTTGTCCTCCACTGCTTCCCCAGCACCCAACAGGTGCCTGGCACAATACCCACTCAATGGATACTTCCTGAATGAATGAATGAAAAAATGAATGCAGAAAAGACAGACTTGGGGCAGAGCCTGCAGCCCAGTGGTGGACCACTTGCCTAACCTATGCGAGGCCCTGTACTCAATGCCCAGCACCACAAAAAACAAAAAAGACAGATTTGAATTCATCTTCCAGCTCTGCATGGTCTTTCAGCCTCAGCTTTTTTGCCTGCACACGGGGGTGATAAACACTTGCCTCAGAATGGCTTCAAGGACATTACTGAAGCCTGGCACAGAGGGGGCTCAATGCATATTTGTTCCTGCCCTGCTTCCCTCCCTAGTTAGCACCCACACTGCTCTGCAGACTCTAGGGCGCAGGCACAGAGCTGTCCCTGTGGAAGAGGGCATTTAAATGCCAGGCAGAAGAAAGCACAGGGATGGTGGTGGAGGCATGACTTTGGGAAGGAGTGAGAAGGGGCACGACATGGGGGAGATGTGCTGAGCCCTGCCCTCATCCCAGGCCTTACTGTCAGACAGCACTTCATAAGCCTCTGCCACCTCCTTAAATTTCCTCTCAGCAAACTCTTTGTTATCAGGGTTCTTGTCTGGGTGCCACTGCAGAGCCTTTCGTCGATACCTGCAGGAAGTGAGTGCGGAGGGAGGGTCAGGGACAAATGCTGTCTCTTCTCACCAGGAAATTCACCCGCTCATTCTCCCTTTCTCTTGGCCCACCACTGTCCTTCGCCAGCCCACCCCAGCTGCTGGGGCTGCTCTGTGGCCAACTTTTCGTGGGACACCTCTCTCTTCCCTCTGCACCTGGCTAGCACTAACCTAGGAGCCCATGGTGACCCCACGGCAAGAACGCTCCCATCCTGGCCACATGTGGCCACAGAGGGTACAGGGACACTGGTCTCCTCCTCGCAAGGCCTAGACATCTGTGTTGCACGCTGAAAACGCCCGCATCCAGGGGGTGGGCGCTGGAGGGGGCACTGGAGAAGGACCCACAGGGCAGCTCCCGGCACTACTTCTTCCCTCTCTGGACTTGCTCCTCTTTTTTTTTTTTTTTTTTCCGGTACCAGGAATCGAACTCACGACCTTGCGCTTGCCAGGCAGGCGCTGTGCCGCTGAGCTAAACCCCCAGCCCCTGGACTTGCTCCTTCTACCCTTCCAGTGTGTCGTTCCCCCCGACAGGTATCACTCGGAAAGCCTCTTGTGGGGCAGAGGGTGACAGGTTTCCTGGCGGCACTTACGCCTTCTTGATGTCATCAGCAGACGCACTCGGCGGCACGTCTAGAATCTCGTAGTAGGATGCCATGGCAGTCGTCAAGCAGGCCTCCTCGGGGCTGCAGGACAGAAGCAGTCAGGCCCCCGGGAACCAGCAGCCCCTCCTAGCGGCTGGAGACCCCTGGGGGACAGGAGGCGCTCCCGGAGGGAGCGGGGCCCGGGGCCGTGCTCGCAGCCGGTGACTGGGCTTCCTCCGCAGCCTTATCTTTCCTGGCAGGCCGGGGCCCCAGGCTATCTCGGCGCACAGGCCTGGGAAGCCCGAAGGGAACCCCCTGACTCCAGCAGTCCTACCCAGGGCCCCCGGCCGGGCTCCGGCCGGGCCGCACCTCCTCCGCCAGGAGTCCCGCCCCTGCCCCCCGCCGGGAACCGTCTGGCACCGCAGCCCTGGCTCGCGACTGCTGCGTAGGACGCGCCCGGCCCAGCTGTGCGCGCAGGCGTGCGTCAGCCGCACGGAAACTACTAGAGACCGGGAGAAGGCCGGCTCCGCCCGGCACCCCAAGGGGGAGAGGGAGAGCAGAGGCTGCTGGGAGATGGAGGCGGAGCCGGCTATTTTGGGCATGCACCCCGGCAACGTCACCCCAGGTGGCACCTGCGAGACTGAGGCCCGCTGCACGCGTGCAGGCGTGACGCACTAGCGCAAACAAGATGCGGGGCCGCTGGTCCTTCTGTCGCTGTCCAATTAACATGACTCACGGTATTCACCCAGAGGTACTCGCTTACCGCCACCTCAAGGACTCCCCGGCTCCTCTCTGGCTCTAACTCCTCCCCTCTTCAGAGTCCTCCTGCAGCCCCTGGTCCTCAAAAGAGGCTGCCCTAGCTTCCCTGAGTAGGTCACGCTTGCCTTTTATAGAATCTCGAAGCTTTCCTTACTCATGCTTGTCACAGCCACAAATTAGCATTGGTTGGTCTGCTTATTTGATTACTATTCACCTCCCCCGCTAAACTGTAAATCCCTATTTTCAGTAGTATATATAGGGCAGTAGCCAAAATACCCAGTAGATGATTAAATGTTGAACAGATGCAAACCTCTTGGTGACAGTTTTGACACATTAGGAGAAGCGGGGTTAAAGAGGACAGTAAGAGGAAATTCCCTGGATTCAAGGCTTTTTTTAGAAGCTGATCCTAAGCAGGCCCATTCCACCTCAAAATGGTTCTGAGTTCAGACCTCCTAAGAGAGTTAGAGAATTTACTCTACTTAGTACCATCCTGCCAGTCCACAAGTATTAGTTCAGTCTTCTACAGTACATGCTGCCAGGACATATACAGAAAAATGTGGGTTTGGGGGATATGGCACAGACCTTGCCTAGCATGTGTGGGGTCCTGGGTTCAATCTACAGCACCACAAAAAATGAAAAACACAATAAAAGAAGAATGCTAGTCCCTGGCTTCTCTGAGCTGGAACTTGAAAGGATAGGCATCTGTAGTGGATTGATAACTGGTGGTCAACTTATAACCCCCAGCTGAACTGAGTAAGTGTGGTGCTGGGTATGGGAGGCCCACCTAGGGACTGTTGTCAGAAGCATAAGAGGCACAACTGGAGAAGAAGAAGGAGGCTGCTGGGAGTGGAGAAAGGCTGTGGGGAGTTGGCAGAAGCTGTTGGGAGCCTGTTGGGAGTTGGTAGGAACTGTAAAGAGCTGTTGGTTCTTTTGGAGGAACTCCTCATGCTGGCTTTCCTGATGAACTTGGCTGTTTTTCATCCTCCAAGGAGCTCAGGGCCTTGTTGGCACTGAGAATAGCTTCGGTTCACTTTGGGGGCGCTCTGGTCCTCACTCTGAGCATCGCTGCCTGGCTCCAGAGGGGAAGAAGGTGCACAGCTCAGTCTCCTGAAGAAGCTTGCTGCATTGGCTTACCTGATGGGAACTCAGTTGTCTTCACCATTGGAGGAGCTCAGGACCTCACTGTTGCTGAGGATGGCTGTGGTACCTTTCGGGGGAAGCCCTGGTTCTACTGAGTGTCACTTCTTGGCTCAGGTGCAGATCCCTCAGCCTGCTAGCACAAATCTTTCATCCTGCCGGCACAGACTTTCTGACCTTTAGGCCTTCCCAGCACAGATCTGTGGAACAGGCCTGCATGAGATATTGTTACGGGCTCTAGACCTCCAGGTGGACTTGTGGGAGGCATTGTTATGAGCTCTAGGCCTTCAGCTGGACTCATGCAAGACATTTCCGTGGGATCCAGGCCTTCAGTGGATTCCTTGGTCTTCATGTGTGGACAGATTTCCTGCACTCTCTTGTATATCATTCTTTGGGTGATTATTATAAATAATCTTATAAAATATGTGTCCTTATAAAATATGTGTCTATGGTTCCCCTTGCAAATAAGCTCTAAATCATATCAGTGTCCCTCAGTACACCCCACTGGGAGACCTCCAGTATTTCCCCTTTGGAAACAGGCCTGGGTTTACAACCTGGCCCTACTGGGTGACTTAAGGAAACTTCTGAGAAATTGGTTTCTTCTCCCTAAATACTACCTAGACAATGCTGATGGTTATTTGAAAGTCATAGGAGGTGGGGTATATAACAGGAGTTATTGGTATAAACCTCTTCAACATCACATCTGGCCCAAGGAGCAATGATTATGTGAGTCTAGGATGGTTGAGCCAGGAACGCTTCGTCAAAGACAGGGCTGGAGTGGGGCATGTCTGCAGAAGGCAATGTGCTTTGTCTGGCTTTCCCTGATGCCCACCACCTGAACCTCCTGCCTCCATTTGGGGAATTCCCACTTCCATTTGGGGAATTTACAACCCATGGGCTCTAACAGGAGGCAGGCCATCTGCCCCAAAGCCTTAACACTTGTGGTTGACACTCCTCAAGACTTCTAGTTCTAAGGGTGCAAGTAAAAGACATATAAGACCTGCCAATCAAGTGCAGCAAGCTGAATCTGGGGCAAGTCACTGAGAAGATGTAGGTGCTTCAGAATCCATTTCTGGTGGTAGTGGCTGCCATGGGGGCCTGCAGCGGCCTCTAGTGTCTGAGGGAGGAAACGTCAGCCTCTATGTCCGTCCTGAGGGAAGACAGTTACTGCAGGGGGTCGAGTGAATGACGGTCTCCTAGGCTGCCCTGTGCCCCGAGCTTGACTGCCGCGCTTCCTTTGGTGTCTTCCTATTTGCTGAGCCTGTTTACTCACCCTTGTGTTGGTTCTGTGTGCCAGCCCATATCTTGCTAATTGAAGGATAGGGTGTTGTTTTTTTCTTTTGTTTGCTTTTTAAATTTTGCCAGAGTTCGTTTCTGCTCTTTACAGTAAGAGTCTTAACTGAACCAAAGACTGAGGCTTAGACTTGGTTTTAGAGGAAAGAGTAGATTAGATTAGGTTGGTCAGTCCAAAATCTTCCAAGCCTCTGCCTTTTTCTTCTTCTCTCATCTCAACAGACTTCTGTCAAGCACCGCCTGTGTATGTGGTATTGTATTAAGAGTAGGAACACAAAAGTTTAAATTCCAATTAAGTTCTAATTGGTATCTTACTTAAAGGACATAAAATATAGTTGAGACATAAAGAAATGATAACTGAGGGAAATCTTATGGAACACATCTAGCAGACAAAGTTAATTTTCTTTGTTCACAAAGAAATTTTAAAAGTTAGTAAGTCAAGCAATACAATTTCTCCAGTGCTGGGGGTGGTACTCAGGGCTTTGAGAATCCTGGGCAAGTGCTTTACCGCTGAGCTACACCCTCAGCCCCCAATGTAATTTTTTAAATGGGCAAAGGGTCCAGACAGCTCACAGAAAAGGAAATACTGGTTCATAAACACATGAAAATATGCTCAGTCTCTCCCCATAGCAAGAGAAGTGTAAAGAAAAGCTGCAACAAAATATCTTCACTTATTGAATGATTGACAAGGATCAAAAGTTTTTTTTAAAATGTTTTTGTCCTTTTGAGTCAGGGTTTTGCTATGCAGTTCAGGTTGGCCTCAAACTCACAACAATCTTTCTGCCTCAGCCTCCCGTGCTGGGATTACAGGCATGCGCCACCACGCCTGGGGCTGGATCAAAAAGTTTGATGCATCATAAGAGCAAGGGTGTAGGCACAGGTGTTCTCATACATTGGTAGTGGCAGAGCAGCTAATTTGGTATTGTTTCCAAAGAAAGAAATATGGAGTGCAACAAAACTATATATATTGACCCAGCAGTTCCAATTCTAAGAATTTATCATTGTATATATATGCAAAGAAGTATGTACAGGGTTGCAGTATTCATCTTCCCCACCCCCTATACTAGAGATGGAACCTCAGCCTCTTCCTCTACTACTGATCTATAACCCCAGCCACAGCATCTTTTTTAATAGCATAAAATAAGAAACAACCTAAACTGCATATGGTGGTAGATAGCTGTAATCCCAGCCCTCTGGGAGGCTGAGGCAGGAGGATTTCAAGTTCGAGCCCTACCTGAGCAGTTTAGTAACTGTCTTAGTTACTTTTCTCTTGTTGCTGGGACAAAATACCTGACGCCCAAAATGAAGGAAGGAAAGGTTTATTTCGCTTACAGTTTGTGGAGGTTTCAGTCCATACTTGGCAGATTATAAGGCAGACTTGCACATGGCAGAGGGCTATATAGCTCCTGGCACGGAACACAGCAAAGCAACAAACACACACACAAGGGAGGAAAATGGCCAGAAGCACAAAAGCCAGGAAATGGCCCCAAGCAGCCTCTTGCTCTCCCTTACATATGCAAACTATCCACCCCAGGGCAGGTGCAGCTCTCACACCCATAATCAATCAAACTCTAAAAGCCTGCCCCATGACTGCATGAGGCTTTGGGCGGGGGACGGACCCAGACACAAACCGTAACAGTAACTTAGTTAACTAAATTTTAAAAGTAAAAATAAAAAGTGCTGGGGTGTGGCCCAGCGCAAAGGCCCTGAGTTCAATCCCCAGTGCCATATGGAGAGAGAAAAAGAAGGACAAGAAGAGAGACAGAGAGAGAGAGACACAGAGAGAGAGAGAGAGAAAGGAAAGGAAGGGAAGGGAAGGGAAAAGAATCTAAACACCGATTAATAGCCGACTGTTTAAATAAACCATGGTACAGGATATATGATGGGATATTACCACAAAAAGGAATGCGCTGATGTAGACCATCTTTTAGATTGAAAGTTAAATGAAAAAATGAGATGCAGAACAGTGCATACTAAAAATATATGGACACACATTAATATCTGTAGGTGTCTCTAGAAGAAAACACTAACAAAAAAGTTAACAGTGGTACCTGCCAAGAGGAGAGCACAGTGAAGGAGATTTATCTCTGCTGTTCATACATTTTTGGGTACCTTTTGGATCCTGAAGCATGTGCAAATAACAGCTGTTCAAATACACATAAAAAATGCTAAGGGCCTAGTTGGGAACTAGGACATTCCCCAGAAGCCATGTGCTACTGTAGAAGGCAGCCCCTGCCAAGTGCCAGATGAGTGACAGAGATAAATGGGAGGGTGGGAGAATCAGAGGAGGGAGCCCTGCTGTAGGGGGGATGGCTTCTGGAAGGTTGTGACCTAAGCAAGGAAGAATGGCAACACTGAGACAGCCGGAGCCCAGGCTTCCAGAAGGAGGACATGCTTTGGAGGCAGTAATACTCCTGACACAGCAGAGGTGAGGGAAAGCTTGTTGGGTAGGATCCAAAGCGGGGAACCTGTCCCCCTGCCTGCAGGAGGTAATTGTACCCTGGCTTTAGAAGCATCAGAGATGAAAGGATTGTCTTGTATGGAGGAAGTTCCCAAGAGCCAGGCTGGGTGGTGCTCCCAGTTGCCCCAGGAAGTCTTGGCTGCCACCTCCCCATACCTACAGCCAATCCAACACAGGCCTACAGGTGCCTACCAGCAAGAGAGACCCTATGGGGCCTGGGTGGAGACATAGCAACCAGGGTGAGCTGGCTGGAGCAGCAGATGGGAGGGGGACCGGCCGCCTCTCCGGGTGCCCTGCCATCGTGGCAGGTGACATTCCCACCTCCCTCTCTCTCACAGATGTCAGGAGAACCTTTCCAAAGAGCACTGACAGCCCCAAGGTGTGTGCCCAAGAAAGCCTCTGCTCCAGTTCAGTGCCAGAGACTGGGGCCCTGCCCCCTGTCTTGATGCCCTTCACCACAGATGCCAAACAGGGATGTGTCAAGCATCAAGCCCTGGGGGCACCTGAGTCACTGTCTGGGCTTTGCTAACCTGTTAGGCCAGAAGAGGTGGCGTCTGGAGGAGCACCTGGAACACCATGGGCAGGAGGGCGGGGCCAGAGAAGGAGCAGCATCATGAGTTTTAGGCAGTGCCCCGCCCGGGTTTGGAGCCCAGCTCCTCCATTTATGATGTAAGTCACATCACTTCTCCGAGCCGGTCTCCACGTCTACGAAATAGGCAATAATGGAACGAGTTCTTTCAACAAACACTGGGTGTCGAATGTAGTAGGCGACATGCAAAGTGCTGAGGGTGGGACAGTGAAGAATGAGGCTTTGTTCCCAAGGAGCTCCCATTCCAGTGGGTACAGTAACTGTATATATCTCAAGAATATATAAGATGAAGCGGGTGTGGTGGTACATGCCTGTACCCCTGGCACTCTGGGAGGCAGAAGCAGGACGATTGCGAGACTGAGCCCAGCCAAAGCAACTTAGCAATAGCAAGACCCCGTTTCAAAATTAAAAAAAAAAAAAAAAAAGGCTGGGAATATAGCGGTGCAGCACCTGCCCGGCAAGCACAAGGTCCTGAGTTCGATTCCTGGTAACCTCCCCAAAAAGAGATACGGCTTAAAATTTAAAAAAACAAAAACAAAAACAAAAACAAAAAACCACCTTAAAAAGGTGTTGGAGAGATCAGGGAGGGAAGAAGGGAGGTCCCAGGATCTGTCTGTCTGTCTGTCTCTCTCATCTCATCAAACAGCGGTTTCGTCTTCTCCCTGGTTCTGATTCCTGCCAAATGTTCCTCCCTCCTTGATCTCACCTGCTCCCTCTGGGTAGCCTTGCTGTGGGTCCAGCTCCAAGTCCTAGTTCAGTGCAAGGGCTCTGCATTCAGTCCCCAGTACTCAAAACAAAACAAAGTGAAACAACAACAAAAAAAAGAAAAACAAGCCAAATATGTTGGTGTGTGCCTGTAATCACAAGTACTTAGAAGTTTGAGGCAGGAGAACTGCAAGTTTGAGGCCAGCCTGGGCAATTTGGTGAGACTTTCTTTCAAAATCAAGTAAGAAAAAAGGCTAGAGATGGACCTCAGAGGTAGTGCACTTGCCTAGCAGGTGCAAGACCATGTACTCAATCCCCAGTACTAAAATTTTTTTTTAAAAAAGGGAAAGTAGAGGGAGAAAAGATAACAAGATGATATGCACACACGGCCTCACACACAGTAGGTGCTTGTTAAATTACAACAATTTCTTGGGGTTTTAAGGGATCCCAACATAATCCCTTTCCCCTTCCCAGGTAAGAAACCAGATGAAGGAGAGAAAGACACAGGAGTCAGATAGATAGAGATTTAAAACTCGGCCCATTTAGTGGGAGAAAAAAGTGGATTGAGGATATAGCTGAGCTGATCAGCGAAAATGAGCTTCTAAACATATTCTCTGAATTAAGTTACTCATGTCCCACCACACACACACACACACACACACACACACACACACAGCCTGGCAGCCTCTCTCCTGGGGACAAGAGCCCATTAAGCATAAATCCTCAAAGAAGAACTGAGAATACTTGCTGTCTAAATACATAATTCCCAGAGGAGGAAGCTGCTGGGGTGTGCATGCCCATTTTCTTCTCTACACCCCTCCCTCCGGTTGCTTTCACTCCATCCTCTATTTCCTACAAAGTCCTTGGGACAAGAGTGACAGGGACAGGTGATGGGGACCAGATGAGAAGGGGAAGGAGCCCTTCTTTGAATGGCACCCTCGCACTGAACTAGTGGAGTGGGTGCTAGTGCTTCCCTGGCTTTCTCTGAGGTCCACTCCCCACCCGGCCTGCCCTCCTCTGCATGCCCTCTGTCCTGGGCTCCCTTGCCAGCTGCCTGCTGCCTAGGCTCCGCTGATGGGAGTCACTGCTGGAGGTTGGGGTAGGAGGAAGAAGCCAGGGAATTTCTCCCTCTCTCAATCAGGTGGTTTCTCAGACTGTGGCTGTGTGTCCTCCCTGGCTCTGATGCCTGCCAAACGTTCCTCCTAGGTCCCACCTGCCCCTTGTGGGTAGTCCCGCTGTGGGTCCAGCTCCAAGGTGCTGATATCACATTTCACCCCTTGGTTCCTCCAGCCCCAGGGGTGACAGGACTCTGGACTCTCAGCTTCCCCATGTTGCTGACTTTGGGGTTGCCATTCTAGTCCCCCATCTTGGGAAAGCCCAGGGAAAAGGGGGCTGCAGGAAGGACAGAGCTGAGGGTAGTCCTGAGAATTCAGTCTCTGCTGGGTTGTGGCGGGGTTGGCCTTAGTTCCAACACTTGCAATGGTTAAGCCATTCCTTAGCCCAGCAGGGGCCTCAGGAGGTCCATATGAAAGGATTTAAGGGCCACCACTGGGCTGGCAGTGCAGCTTTAAGCTGTGCTTGCATAACACATGACATCAGATTGAGAAAGGGTCATGTGTCTCCATGAGCAGTGGTGAGTGTTGACAGAGGCTACTGACAGGTAAGCTCTCCCTCTGCTTTTCCCCCTTTGTTGCTGCTGATGCCATGTTACCGTCTCACTGCCAGCATCTGGACTCTCTATACCCCAACTCCTGCCAGGAGAAGACACCTCCCCAGGCTGTGAGGTGGTCCATGGAGCACCAGCCACATCTGACCACTCTGGTGCATCATTTTGGGTTCTCTAGCGGCCCAGGCTCCTCCGTCCCACTTCACAGTGGGCAACTTCACAGTGCCTCTCCCCTGTCCTCACAGCTTCCCATTGACTCTGCAGTCCAAGTGTGAATGACCCAGAAGAACAGAGGACTTGGTGCTTGATCAGGCAAGAACAGAGCCAGTGTGTAAGTTCCCCCAGCCTCACCCGACCTGCCCACTCACCGAGGGATAGACCTGAGGTGCCCTGTGTTATGGCCTGTGTCTAGATGTCCCGTGAGAGCTTCATGAGGTCATAGGTGGGGCTTTTCGGAGATGGATGGATCTAGGGTGTGTGATGCTGGGATTAATGGTGCCTCACCCTGGGTGTGAGCACTACCTAGCCTAAGGCCATGTAGCCTGGATAGAATACAGTAAGTCCCTGACTTACAAACTTACTTACAAAACTCCCAGCTTTGTTCCAGGAGAATGTTCATAAATCAGATTTGTTCATAAACCTGACAAAGTGAGTCTTATACACAATATACAATATAAAACATAAAAAAAATTCGAGGACAATTCATATGTGTGAAAGTTCATAACTTGAATCTTTGTAAACTGGGGGCTTACTGTATAAGGGACAGAAAGACGGCTGCTGCTGTTGCTGCTAGCTGCCTCTTGCCTGCTTGCTTCACCATGGACTGTTTCTTCTCTGCGGTGTCTCCCTGCCACGTCACCCTGCCTTGGAGCCAGCCAACTAAGGACTGAAACCTCTACAAACTTTGAGCTATAATAAACTTTTCTCCTTTAACTTTGGGTGTTGGGTATTTTGTCTCAGAAATAAGAAAAGTAATGAAGATATGCTGAATTCAGCTGCATCTTCTCTGGGGTGACTTTCCCCTCCTTCCCTGCTTTACTCTCCACGGACCCCATCTTGCTCCCTGGAACTGCACTCTAATGACATCTGAAATCAGATCTGCCTTTTAGGGATCCCAGGCTGACACCAGGCTTTTTACCTCTCATGAAAGAGAACCCAAGAGAAAACACTCAGAAGACAACAAGGCCACAGCACTTAATTTAGAAAGATACACAGGCTCTTCTAGTATTCATGCCCTTCTTCTTCCTCTTCTTCACTCTCAACACTATCCATGCCCTGTTTCTGCAGGGCTTCTCTACTGAGATCAGCAACCCAGGACCATCCTTGGTGGAAGCCAAAGTCAGTCACAGAGCCTTAGCCTAGCATTCTTGAGACCCCTGATTTTCGTGGAGACTTCTGGTCACATCCTTGTAATATAAGTGCATATTCTGGAAATGCTTATGGATCTCCATATCTTAGCCAAGCAAGCCATCAATATGTTTGCATTTGAGGTTACTCTTCCTAACAGTGAACCAGTAGATGTGGAAGATAAGAAGACACTGGCTTCAGGATGGACCTACAATAGGCTTCTTGGTCAGAATTCAAGGCCCTTCCTCACTAGACCTAGTCCTCATCCTTGTTCAGATGTCTCTTCCAAGGGCTGAAGCTGCCATTCCTGTCTGGTCTCTAGAGCACTCTAGAAATAGAGATACAGGTTTTCCTGTCCGGGATTCAGCCTTCCCTTACCAGCTTCCAAATCCAGTCCAGTGCTAGATCAATGAGCTCCTTTCCAATGGTATAGTGGCCCCAGGCATAGTTATTGACAGCATCTGTTTTGCCTTTGATGAGCTGCTCTGGGTGAAAGAGCTGGCTGTACATGCCCGTCTGAACTTCATCTGCAATGGGCAGTTTTGGGCCCTACCTCCCTTACAGTCCAGCTCATAACCCCCAGGGTACCAGAGGGGGTCAGGTCACCAGACCCCAGATTCTAGCCTAGAGGAACTGCATCCAATGACATGGAAAGGGATGTGGGACGGCCTTGGAGGGAGTGACTGTGATTCCAGTTGCCTTGGATTCCAAATGCAACAGAAACTCCAGTGCTTTCGAATTCTGAAGTAGGACTTCTCTGTACTCAGGGACAAGGCAGAGACAGAGACAGATGGATCATCACTAACCAATCAGAGAGGGCTCCGGATCCACAAACACTTCCAGGGGCACATGTTCTCCAGCTCTAGTGTCACCAAAGAAGGTGTTGAAGGAGTCATCTGCCCCCAAAGGTCTTGTTACTGACCATCTACCCATCTGGCTGGATCCATGTTCTAAGCAGTACAGCTCCCAGCATGCACTGCCATCTGCACAGCAGCCTGCCTCACGTGGACTGAGATGCATTAGTGCTGAGTGGGCAAAGGTCAGAGAACAGCTTTAGAAAGCTTAGAAAGAAGGGTGTTATCATGCCCTGACACAACTCCTGCCCACCTTCCTTGCCTGGTTCTTTGGCTGAGCACCAAGTTTCCTGGACTCTGTTCCTTGCCCAGCCTCCTGTGTTTAATCACGCACTGGTGTCGCTGAGGACCCACAGGCATTGGCTGTAGGGGCAGGGACAAAACTCTTGGGGGAAGCAGATGTGGGCAGATCCAAGGTTACAGAGCTCTGTCCCATGACTAAGCATCTTAATTAAGGAACATGGAGGAGATCAGATGAGTCTGGTAAAGTGTGATAACCATGTAAAGAAAGAAATGCGTGCCATTGGTGGAGGAAACAAAGGAAGACATTACAGAGATAAAGGGAGCAAGGGAGCTGGAGCATGGTCTTGCAAGCCTATAATCCAGCGCTCTAAGGCTGAAGAAGATCACCTAGGCTACGTAATGATCTCAAGGCTAGCCTGGACTACACAGTGAGACTTTGTCTCAAAAAAAAAAAACAAAAGAAAAAAAGCATCAAGGGAAAATATTCACACACACACACACACACACACACACACACACACACACCAAATTTGGAATAGTGGCTCTCTGTAACAGTGGATGCAGTCGGAAAGGGATTCTACTCATCAAATTTGGTAACAGATGTTCATTCTACTATTTTTATACCTTTCTGCATCTCTGCCATTCAGTAAGGATGCTTTTTCTATAAATTTAACACATCACTGACTTAAAAAATACATAAAAAAGGCCGGGTGTGGTGGTGCATGCCTGTAATACCAGCACTTGGGAGGCTGAGGCAGGAAGCCAGCCTGAACTACGCAGAGAGATCCTGTCTCAATAATCAACCATTCAACGAACCAACCAATCAGTCAATCATATAACAGTTGCAGGGGGTGCACATCTGTAATCCCAGCACTCAGGAAACAGGCAGGAAGATTACAGTGAGTTCGAGGACAGCCTGTGCTACACAGTGAGTTCAAGGCCAGTCTGAACTACATAGCAAAACACTCTCTCTCAAAAAAAAAAAGAAAACTAAATAAATAAATAAGAAATAAGGGCCTTGACTTATGATTTTTAGATGGCTGGGATTAATCCATAAGCGATCTATGTCCCAGACCGGCAACTTCTTTGCTCCCACTGAGTCAGTGTCCTCCCTGTGAAATGAGTTTGATTAAGGCCTCTCCTCGAAGAAATACTTTGAGGGTTGGATGAAAGATGCATGCAAGGTGCCTGGCCATTGCCTGACCCATACTAAAGTGGCTGTGCCTGTTGCAACTTCCTGCAGTTCCCATCCCCGCACCCCAGCATCATAATAAGGGACTGGGAGGGACTTAGGGAGGCAGTGACTCTGAAACTCCCCAGGAGGAAGGACTGGCTTGAGTGCCCAGCACCTGGTAAGGAAGACCAGCACCAGCTGCTGCACCTCTGAGCCTGCTCAGCTTCTGTCCATGAATCAGATGCCATCCTCGCCCCAGGAACTGTCAGCTACACATGGTGTCTCCAACCTCTTAGGGAGTGAGGCCTCGCCCTAGAGAGCAGCATGTTTGGGACAAAACTTCAGCTTGTAGAGTCACACAGACCAGGACTCTAAGACCTCACACAAGTTACTCCACCTCAGCTTCCTGGGCTCCTTTTTCTTAACAGTGAAACCTGGCAGGTTTTGCTGTGTTGTTGAGTGGTTTTTTTTTTTTTTTGGTGGGGGAGGGGTGTTTGGAATCAAACTCAGGACCTTGCGCTTGCCAGGCAGGTGCTATGCCGCTGAGCTCTATCCCCGGCCCTTCCTGTGTTGTTTAGTTGCTATATCATATGCACTGATTAGATGTCAGGCACTACCTCGTATACTTCTTGAACTTCTCATACATTATTTCTCTCTTTTTTATTTTTTTGGGTTTTTTTGAGACAGGGTCCAACTATGCAGTTCAGGCTGGCCTTGAACTTGAAAATATCCTCCTGCCTCAGCCTCCCCAGTGCTGGGATTACAGGTGTGCACTACCACACCTGGCTCATCATCTCATTTAATCCTCACAACTATCCCCTTACGGAGGTACTTTTATTACCCCCCATTTTACAGCTGAGGCAACGAACCCACCGAAAGTTGAGCTACCAGCTCAAGGTTATGAGTAAAAGCAGGCATTTTCAGGGTGGGGACAGCCTGGATCCAACCATGCTCTAACCTGCTCTTCTGTTCTGCACAACCAGGGTCTACTGAAGCTATCGATCCTGCTGCCCCACAGAGGAGCAGCACAGCCCAGCAGCTCTAGACAGAAAGGGCACCTCCCTCTCCATCTCTCCCCGCTCCCTCCTCCGCCCCCTCCCACTGCTCCAGGACTGAAATCAGGTTCTGACAAAAGTGCAGTAGATGGGCAGGCCTCAGGGAGAAACCCAAGAGCAGCAGCTTCTGTGGGAGACTTGTCCCCACAGCCGGGAGGGGACCACAGCCCAGTAGTGAACCTGGGCAGGGCTCAGGTTTGGAGACTCGGCCAGCATGGAAAGTAGCCTCACTTTCTGCTCAAGTCCTGCTTACCCCACCCCACCCCAAAACTCAGAGGCCTCTCAGACCCACCCCTCTCCTGCATGTCCCCCCAAACCAGCACACTTGGGGACTATAGTCCCACCTGGACTTCTCTATAAATCTCCCCGCTCCTCATCCCCCCACGTACTATAGCCCATGGATACCAGGACTCACAGGGTGCACTCACATCAGCCCTCCAGGGCCACTGGGCCCCCAGCCCTGCTCACCATGCTGCCTGGCTGGGGCCTGACTGGGGTCTTCTTGCTGTGGGTCTACACTTGCTGGATAGGAGGCAGGGATGGATCTGGAAGAGACCCAGGGCGGTGGCCCCTTGATACTCTGGTCTGGTGGCTGGGGAGGGGGTGGCCTGTTGACTGGTTACAGAGCAGTAGGCCGGTGCTGGGCCAGGGCCAAGGAGTCCTGATGGGTGGGAGGAGGAGGGGAGGAGGCTAGAAACCCCACACAGGTATCCAGGCTCCAGGGTACCTGGCGTCTACTGCCCAGCACACCGTCACATTTTCTGGTGGCAGCCTGGCCTTCACATGTGGGAGAGGGTTTAGAATTGAAGCCCCTAGAACTCCAGCACCACCCCACACCATGGGGCTGGCAAAGACTGGAAGTGGAGAGTGAGTGGGACTAAGAAGATCTGCAGTGATCCAGAAATAATGAGTCCTTGGGCAAGAGAGCAAGCCCAGGGGATTCTGGGTAGAAACCCAGAATATTTGCGAATATAGGGAGCTAGAATCTAAGAGGGAACCCCAAATCTAATACCTGCAAGCACTTAATCCCCCCACCCAGGTACTTTGGATAGAGCCCTGGAGCACTTTAGCAATGAGCTACATCCTTGGCCCTTTTTCTTTTCTTTCTTTTTCTT